TATATATATATATATATATATATATACATATATATGCTTTTTTGTGTATAATACCTTTTTTGAAAAAGAAATGCATATATTTATGTAGTGTGAAGTCTGATCCTTGAGAAAATATAAAGGGTCACTAACTTCGTCAATTCTTTCACTGCTTTTTTACTGAACTGTACCATAAATTTGTCCTATGGTGTGACATAGCAAAAATTAAGAAGAAAAAAACCCCTCTTAATAATACATAAATAGCATGAGAAAGATTTATCTTCATTGTTAGACACTTATTTTCATACAGTGCTATTTATTTAATATGAAATTATAATTAACATAATTTTTCCCCTATGACTTGTTGGACAATTTCAAGACAAACTTTGCTGTCATTCGTTCAAAACTGCTGAAAAGTATACCATTTTAAGATTAAAAACAAATCTGTGGTTCTTTTATGTGTGTCACACCATATGACATTACGTCATACTAAAGGACAGAAATGGTAGTTATTATATTATTTCTATTTGATTTTGAACATGTCAAACGAGAAAGAAAGTTTCATTTTGATACAAACAATATCCGCATGTATTTTAAACAAAACAAAAAATAATTTTCATCAACAAAAGTCAGTCTCTTAGTCAATCAGTATGTTACTGAAACTCTTCTAGCCCCCTGCTGCATGTGTGGCACAGCTAAATATGATTGATATTCAAACTATATTCATTAAGATGTGAATGAGTTTTTTAAGAAATGTATGGATGAAAAAAATTATTGCCATTTACAACTTGTACAATTATGCCGGAGGTGTTTATTAATATTTTTATGCTTTTCTTTTGTATTTATAAAAGTTGTAATTTATTGAACCATGCTTGAGACAGTCACACCATAGGACAATTTTGAGATTTGGCTCAAATATAAAAAAAAAATCGAATAACACTGCAGCTTTTATAACAACAGGTCCATGTAGGACAAAGACATGTTTAATGATTTACTGCATTTTAAATAATGACAATATTAATTATATTATATATATATATATATATATATATATATATATATATATATATATATATATATATATATATATATATATATATATATATATATATATATAATCAGTATATATTGATTTTAACAAATTTACACATATATAGACAGAGCTGGGTAGTAACTGATTACAGGTAACCTGGATTACATAATCAGATTCCAAAAATTAAGTTATTTTAATTAAATTACATTTTAAAATACATGGAATCCGCTTTTTTATTGATTACATGATTACATATTATTCACACAAATTATTCATAATTTATTGATTCTCCCTAATTCCTCTTTTTCATTGTTTAAATGTTACTTTCTAAAATAGCCTGCCGCTTATATACATTCAGAAAGTCTTCCAGCTTTGTGGACGTTCACACAAAGACCAGTCGTCAGGTGGCTGTAATTACACACACAATTGAGAGGCCACACAGCATTTAATTTAATAAGTGTTTTCTCAACATTTCAACATTGCATCAACTACTGATGAACACATCAATATTTATTTGAATTATCACTCAGTAGGTTATTTAACCATGTATTACTAGGCCATGTCTTTTGAAGTTTTTTCTTTTCTTTCAAACACATTCAAATGCACAACTTCACATTATTTATTTTTTACATGTGATGCAGGGATTCTCTCTTTTTTTTTTTTGTTGGTCAGCCGAATCTCTTTCACCTAATATATTTATTTGAAGTCCCCCCTGAGATAATACGTTAATAATTAAGTAACATATTTCCTCTGATATTGGTTAATGGTCACATGACATTTTAGTAAGAGTTTTATTTTGATTGTTGTTATTTTAAAATGATTTATTTTAATTTTACATTTTTTATGATTTAATTATTAGCTTTTCATTAAACTCGTGAACCCCCTGCAGTTCCTTCATGAACCCCAGTTGACATAATGTAATGTTTAGTGCACTTCATTATGTTAATAACAAGAAATTTTATATATTTTTTATATAAATATGGTACGAGATTATCGCATTTGAAATCAATGTGATAAACAAGTTAGGTCAAACGTAATCTAAAAGTAATCAAAAAGTAGTCTGATTATATCACCTGAAATGTGTAATGCAATGGATTACGTTACTAACAACATTTTTTGTAATGTAATTTGGAATCAGTAACGGATTACAATTTTCAAGTAATCTACCAATCTCTCTCTCTCTATGTGTGTGTGTGTGGGGGGACTTAAACCTGAATACACACCAACTCATGGGGACTTGTGTCACCGCGGGGACCTAAATTGAGGTCCCCATGGGTACAAAAGCTTATAAATCATACAGAATGAGTTTTTTTGAGATAGTAAAAATGCACAAAGTTACCTGTGAGGTGTAGGTTTAGGTGTAGGGTTGGTGTAGGGCGATAGAAAATAGTTTGTACAGTATAAAATCATTAAGCCTATGGGGAGTCCACACAAGGACTCTGTTTATGTTAGGGTGACCATATGTGCCATTTTCCCAGGACGCGTCCTGGCCAGGACCGATCAATGTATGACATCAAAATACCTCGAGAGCATTTTGAAAGCATAAGGAAACGTCTGTATGGTATTTTGATGTCATACACCGATCAGTCTGCACACGCTATATATATATATATATATATATATATATATATATATATATATATATAATCAGTATATATTGATTTTAACAAATTTACACATATATAGACAGAGCTGGGTAGTAACTGATTACAGGTAACCTGGATTACATAATCAGATTCCAAAAATTAAGTTATTTTAATTAAATTACATTTTAAAATACATGGAATCCGCTTTTTTATTGATTACATGATTACATATTATTCACACAAATTATTCATAATTTATTGATTCTCCCTAATTCCTCTTTTTCATTGTTTAAATGTTACTTTCTAAAATAGCCTGCCGCTTATATACATTCAGAAAGTCTTCCAGCTTTGTGGACGTTCACACAAAGACCAGTCGTCAGGTGGCTGTAATTACACACACAATTGAGAGGCCACACAGCATTTAATTTAATAAGTGTTTTCTCAACATTTCAACATTGCATCAACTACTGATGAACACATCAATATTTATTTGAATTATCACTCAGTAGGTTATTTAACCATGTATTACTAGGCCATGTCTTTTGAAGTTTTTTCTTTTCTTTCAAACACATTCAAATGCACAACTTCACATTATTTATTTTTTACATGTGATGCAGGGATTCTCTCTTTTTTTTTTTTGTTGGTCAGCCGAATCTCTTTCACCTAATATATTTATTTGAAGTCCCCCCTGAGATAATACGTTAATAATTAAGTAACATATTTCCTCTGATATTGGTTAATGGTCACATGACATTTTAGTAAGAGTTTTATTTTGATTGTTGTTATTTTAAAATGATTTATTTTAATTTTACATTTTTTATGATTTAATTATTAGCTTTTCATTAAACTCGTGAACCCCCTGCAGTTCCTTCATGAACCCCAGTTGACATAATGTAATGTTTAGTGCACTTCATTATGTTAATAACAAGAAATTTTATATATTTTTTATATAAATATGGTACGAGATTATCGCATTTGAAATCAATGTGATAAACAAGTTAGGTCAAACGTAATCTAAAAGTAATCAAAAAGTAGTCTGATTATATCACCTGAAATGTGTAATGCAATGGATTACGTTACTAACAACATTTTTTGTAATGTAATTTGGAATCAGTAACGGATTACAATTTTCAAGTAATCTACCAATCTCTCTCTCTCTATGTGTGTGTGTGTGGGGGGACTTAAACCTGAATACACACCAACTCATGGGGACTTGTGTCACCGCGGGGACCTAAATTGAGGTCCCCATGGGTACAAAAGCTTATAAATCATACAGAATGAGTTTTTTTGAGATAGTAAAAATGCACAAAGTTACCTGTGAGGTGTAGGTTTAGGTGTAGGGTTGGTGTAGGGCGATAGAAAATAGTTTGTACAGTATAAAATCATTAAGCCTATGGGGAGTCCACACAAGGACTCTGTTTATGTTAGGGTGACCATATGTGCCATTTTCCCAGGACGCGTCCTGGCCAGGACCGATCGGTGTATGACATCAAAATACCTCGAGAGCATTTTGAAAGCATAAGGAACCGTCTGTATGGTATTTTGATGTCATACACCGATCAGTCTGCACACGCAAACAAAGCCAAAAACTAGATATTTTAGGCAATATAGAAATCCTGGCCAGGATGCGTCCTGGGAAAAAGGTGCGTATGGTCACCCTAGTTTATGTGTGTGTGTGTGTGTGTGTGTGTGAAATATGACTCAGACATGTTCTTGACAGACAGATGTTGTTAGACTGACATTTCAGATTGTCCAGACATCTGAAATGACCCTTTAAAAAGTGCACAGAGAACAAATGTAAACTATTTTCAGAACGGATCATACAACGAGAAAAACGTGAGCGTGAGTCAAACGTCTCCATGCACCTCTTGCACATTTCAAATCATATTTCTTATTAATATTGATAGAAAACACCACTTCGACCTAGAGCGACCTTGTTTCTCATGTACTACGGTCACTTCTACTGCTTTACAAGCACAAGATCCTGCAAAGTCCTTTAATGATCTTTCTCGTCTGGGATCAGATATCTGAAATCACTCCAGATAACACTGTAGTGTCCGTGCGAACTCACAAACTGACCCTAGATCAGTTCAGCGATCAATAAGAACCATAGACACCGTATAAAAACAGATAAGAACAAGCACAGCCATAGACATATAAATACTTATATTTATATGTCTATGAGCACAGCCCCTTCGAATAGGTATCCACAGCGCCGCCTTTACAAAATACCTCGGTATATTATTAAATTATCATTAATTTATCGGTTTTATTAGCATTTTATTAACATTTCGATTATTACACTGTAAATAAGTATTTATTAACTGCAATGAGAGAACAAACTATGTCAAAGTATAAAATAAGAAAGCAGGCAAACTCTAGAAGCCCCCCGCGGACTGTGTGCTCTTCTCTCAGACAGTGCTGGAGCGGATCTGCTAGAGCTCGCCAACGAGCCACGCTCAGTCCCTTTCTTTCTGTACGGTTTTGGGAAATTTTATATCGTCTCATCAATCACTATGCTGAGCACGTTCAGCCGGCAACTCAGAAGCCACCCTGCCGTAAGTGAACGATGATTTCTGGACGATTTATCCTGTGAAAAACGGTGGCAAGAAGGCGTAGAAACGCTCCCGCTAGCGTTAGCTAAAACGACAGTCTGGATATTTATACCTCTGAATATGAAATATTTAATCTGAAAAATACGTATTGATTAAATTACACGAAATTTGAAACATGGTGATTCCCAGGCTTGGAAAATTAATGGAAGTTATTATCTGCTCTCAGTGATTTCATCGGCTAAAATCGCTCCTTTTAGTGCAATCTCAAACTTATTTAGAAATAATATAGAACCCAGAATAAAAAAAAAAATGCTTTGTTAAGCGAACAAAATGTTCATATAGAGCCACAACTACACAAATATGTCAAAGTGTCAAACCAGTCGCAACTGTCACACAAGTAACGTAAACAACACACTTTCCCCAATGTATTGCGCTAGCCACATATATTTATTGCGAGGCTTGATGTAAAAAAAATGAGGTGAATTTTAAACATAATTTAAATGAAGTGACATTCAAACGAGTGTTATCGTGTGTGCGCACTTAACACAAGGAGCCCTTGTGTCACGTGACAGCACGGGCTGTCTTGAGTATCGATACTTTCGATACTCGCGTCAGTATCGATATATCGATACTTAGGATCGATACGCCCATCCCTAGTCTGCAGCTCAAGGGCGAGCGTGTTGTGGTAAGGACAGCCAGCGAGCGCGGCCAAATACACTTTTACTTTTAAACAGCTGTAATCTTCGTATTCTTAATATTTCTTTGTTAGTTGGCCCCATGTGGGAAGTTTTAGGAGAAACTCTAATTTATTATATTTGAGTTATTTAAGGCTTTTGTGTTTCATGAAGTAACATTTGTGAACAGTTTATGTAATGGTAATGTCATTCATTGCTGTATAATCTAGATTTGTGGTTCTCAACTGGAGGTCTGTAGTATGGTTTTGGGCATTTCATTTGCTAATGTACACTGTAAAATTTACGGTAAAAAACCGGCAGCTGTGGTTGCCTGAATTTTACTGTAAAAAATACGGTAGCAACGTTTTAGGTTTTACGGTTTTAACTTAAATTTACAGTTAAATACCGTAATTTCATTAACTGATATAATGTTAATATACCAACCTACTGAAGTACTGAAATCTGTTTTGTATCTTTGTAATACACTGATAACCACCAAAAGCAGGTGGTGATGAGAAAGTCACATGATGAACCAAAGCCCGTCACAAGCAGCTTTTAAATAATAACATATATAGAATGTGCACAGTGTCATTCACACAAACACCAAACACCATCACGGTAACACACATGAAACTGAAATAATGCAATAAACATTCATTTAATTAGGTGTAACACACAACCCTAATATACAAAACTGATAAGAAAAAACTAAGAAGAAACATAGTTATTTCAACAAAAAAAACATAAAATTTGAAATGTAATGCAGGGAATTCTGGGAATGTCAATTTACGGTTAGTCTCTGTAAATTATACGGTATTATTCACTTCCAAAAACGGTATACAACCGTAAAATTTATGTCCAATACATGTAATGTCCAATACAGGTTTTCACCGTAGTAGGGGAATTTACCGTTAACCATTTAACAGGTTTTTACTGTAGCATTTTTACAGTCTTTTACCGTTAAATTCACGGTCATTTTTTACAGTGTACAATAAATTATATTTTGGGTTGCCAGTTGGAATACAATAAAATGTACATTCTGAAACAAAACCAGTCGTGATCCACCAAACTAGATGATCATCAACCATGATTTCAAAGTTTATTACATCACTTATTATATTTGACTTGCTTTATAGTTGATGTTCTTTTCTATTTTTTTGTTCACCTCTCATCATAGTTGATCCCACTGTTTATTTTCATTGGCGGTGGATGCACCATGTCTCTGACATATCTGGGTCGCCTGGCCTTGCGTAACCCAGATGTCTGGTAAGCATCTGTTCTATGGAAGATACAAATCCAATAATCATCTGTCTTTCACAATAGACGATAAAACACAGGCCTGCAGCCTTTTTTAATTGAGGAACGATTGTAATTGTGATTGATGAATCTGATTTGTGATTCTTCATATCTTGACCCAAACAACTGGGAGAGAACAACAGTGCTGCTCAGATCTTCAAGCCATCGTTGTATTTAATAATTTTTATCATGCATGTCTCATTCATTTCTGCACTCATTTGCTTCATCCACAGCTGGGACAAAAAGAACAACCCAGAGCCCTGGAATAAACTAGGGCCCAATGATCAGTACAAGGTATGATCCATGTGCGTGATCATTTATACCCTGTGTTCAGGATGTATCTTGCTTCTAAGTGTATTATATTCTGATTTATTTTGTTCCATGTATTTAAATGATGTTTTATTAACAAGGTTTGGGAGGAGCGCGTCAGATACTTAGCCTAATTAACACAGTTGGAGCGCACTCAAGTTAATCAACACCATGATATAAATACAGCTGACTTACCTCTATCCATTGACGGTTATCAGCATCCCGCCTCCGCCCCATCTCCTCACTTCGAGTTCATACTACACTTATACGGGGGGGTACTCTAGGTACGGGCCATTCCCGAGCTTGGAGCCCTTCCCCGGACAGCACGCTGAATATGCATTACCATACTTCAGCTAATTATATGTAAGCGTGAACTCGTGAAAGGAATGTTCTGGGTTCCATCCAAGTTCTGTCAACAGCATCTGTGGAATTGAAAAATAATTTGGACTCGTCCTTCAGTTTGAAACAATTGCATTTACAGTAAAAGTACTTTTAATGGAAGCCTAGTGAACAAGTCACTAAAGGGCTCTTTGCTTACAAATTTTAAAGCAACATACCATTACTGTGCCACAATAAGAACATTCAAAAGTAGGCATGAGAAAACTGAGCTTTTCAATAATGACAGAATTTCAAGAATGTCTATTGTTTTTATGGAAAACATAAAAAAAAACGATGCAATAATAATTACTACTATTATTATTCATATTTACAATATTTTATATAAATTGTGTGTATATACATTAGTACATACAAAAATAGACTAATTAATAAAATGCTACTATAGCAATATTACTATTGTACTGTAAAATATGAATAATTTTGTTGCAACAGTAAAATTACAATACTAATATTGTGCTGTCTTAATTTTTGCTTTCATTCGTTAAACCATACAGATTATATTTAGGCAGAAAAACACAAGATAACGGGTTTCTAAACGATTCTTATTACAAGATGGTTGAACTTACCTGAACTTGAACTGCTAAAAACAGATTGTGTGCACTGTTGCAGTTCACTTTGAAACACGCACCTCGTTAGACTATAAATGCACATAATTATATTGTGAGTTTTCATTTTGGATCCTGTATGCAATTCTTTATGATCTTGGATCAGGTCAATCACAACGTTGAGCCTAAATTTTTCACATTTGCACACAGTAATTTGGTTGCACTGTAGAGCCAATGGGATGAACATTTAACAAAACTCAATGTTTTAAAAATAACATTATAACATGACCCTAGCATGAAAAAAAAACCCTTTCTCTTAAAAAAGCCCCCGTGTTTTACTTCTGTTATGACCATGTAAAGTGGGTAAACCTGCTGAATGTATGTTTTAAACAACTTCACAGCTCAAACAACACATTTTTTGTACTGAAGAACTATAATTTCTGCTTTTATACCCTCTGAAATTCCTTATCTTGACCATTTTAATCTTACTTCAAACTTGATTTTGGCTTGATTTTTATGAAGTGAGGGACTGATCAAAGTTATAGTCTGTGGTAACTGATAAAACGTTTGCTTTGATTCAGAACGTTCTTTTAATGTAATGATAAAGCACTCTTCAAAATGTTTAGCATCCAGCATGCAAACAACAATTTTGAGTTTGCAAACTAACTGACCAGTGTATGTGGTGTTAGTATAGCACTTAATCCCACCATTGTTGCCGGAGCGCCTGAGGGGATCCTATTAAAAGATGTGACTGAAGGACCGTATCAGGACCTAATCTCAGATCTAAATGAGTTTAATTCATTAAGCGCTTCATAAGCTCATTTTATGTGTTCTGTTAGTTGGTACAAATCTAATCGTGCTCGTGTCTTAATGTGAATTTGATGTGGAGTCGAGTTCAAGTTCAATACTTAAACAGGCAGTGGAGTTAATGGATTTTGCAGAGTGCATGTTGTTAAACAGCTTATTTTGTATTCTCAGTTTTCGGTTTCTTTTTCAAGTTCTATGCAGTGAGCACGGACTACAGCAAGCTGAAGAAGGACCGTCCTGACTTCTAAACGAATCCAGGGAATCCAGACGCCCGGTGCTGGACCAAAGGTTTAAAAACAAACTAAAAAACAAGACGTCCGCACACTTTTCCTCAACAGCCCTGGTTCCTAATTTATGCAAAGAAGACTAAATTGCACAATCTTGTCTTTGCTTTCCTGGATCCCCTTTTAACATCTATGATGTCTCTTGTATTTTCTCTCAGTTCTTTGTAGTCAAAAACTATTAGTAAAGGGTTTTCTCCCACATACAGTGAAAAACCAGTTCATGTCTCATGATTATTTAGGTGTTTTTATGAATGTTTCTGAGACGAAATCTTTGTTCACACTGCAAACAAATCTGATTTAGTTTTCAAATCTGATTTTCACTGTTCATATTGCTATTTTGCAAAGCTAAAACATTGCCTCTGACACTTTTGCTGTTGCTTATTTTCGACTTTTTTAAATTTAAAGTAGCTGGTGATAGTTCAATTTGATTCATTTTGTGATTTCTTAAAACTACATTCTTCAATTAAAACAGTTGAGGAGGGAAAAGAGTATGGTTTAAGCATTTAAATTTGTATTGTTTTAAAAATATTAATTTTATAGTTAATAAATATTCATACACATAAATCATCCAGTGGCTTCTTTTGAAGGTTGCTGAGGTGCCTTAGTGGGCTTTACCTGGTTGGGAAGCACTGCTCTATATGGTTGCTCTAGTATTGATGTCAGTGTCAAGAAACTTGTCTTTTTTTTCTACACCTGGGAGTAGTGAGGTGTTGACGTGGAGAAAGTTACCTCTGCGTATGTCTATCATAACATCTAGGCATGTTACTAAACTCATGAGGCACATGCATCAGTTCTATGTTGATGAAACCGATTTGGGTCCGATTTCAGACTGCTGCCTTCCTGGACAAACTTGACTTACGATGGGGTGTTCATTACGAGGGTAATCAACACCCTTCGATTTTTCTTACTGCTGTCAAAACCCCACGGCTGCATGGCAGAGTCCTCTAGCGGAAGGAAGGAAACTGACAACTGGTAACTAAAACACTTCACACACCAGTCAGAATGTATAAAAAGGGTTACGTGTGTTTATTAGCTTGGGATCGAAACGGAAAATGTTTAAGAGGAGGAGTACATGTAAGAGGAAGTCTCTGATGAGATCTATGTAGTGTTATACATGTTTTTTCTCTATGTGACGGGGAAGGTGTGCGAGTGGAAAAACCTCTAGGTAATAGCCTATATTGTGAGCATGTTACTTTCGATTGATAGCCTATTTTAAGTGCATGAGGCATAGGCTAAGTTATGACATGCCAGAGCTTCAATTTATATCTAAAATACAACGGACGGATATGGACTGATTCAGAAAGCTATAGAAATGCTAATTCAGAATAAATGTGACATTGTTTATTTTCACAGTGTTTTACTGATAATTTGGGAAATATGTTTAAAAATAGTAAGATTTTGAATTCTGTCTTTCTACATTGTTAATTTTTAACAAGGTTTACTGTTCTGCACTTTGTTTGGAATTTTGAGATAGTTAATGGCTTCAGGAAATGTGTCTTAGTATTTGGGGAAAATGTAAAAGGTGTATACATTTCAAATCTATCAAACTAAACTATTTTGTTTTATAAGAAACCCAGTTGTGTTATTTTGGGATTTATGTTTATTTCACACTCGTTGACTGCCATTGAAGTCCGGGATCAGTGGTGTTATACAGTGAGGCGGTGGAGGAGAATATAATAAATATAATAAAATATAATATATACTGTATATATAGGCCCTATTTCTTCCGCCGTCACACCAGCCTAATCTGAAATAGTGTAACTTTAGTTTCAAATGCAAGCCTTGCATTTGACTTGCTTATACAGTATGTTCTTATAAATCCGGTCCCCGGAATGGAACAAGCTGCTTTTAGCTGTTTCTTCTTCAGTAATACCATTTTTTCCCTGTTCTTGATGACTTTGGTAAATGTCATTGGGTTGCGCACAGACAGGAGAAAGCGTTCGAAAAAAGATGAGCGGAAAAATGTCAAGGAGACCTTTGTGTGCCAGCGGCTTTAAAACTTCACCCACCTTCGCAAAGGTTATTTCACATTTTCGCTGATAATGAAAGAGTAGTTCCGATGGCTGTTGAGATGGGAGACGGTTCCCACTTAGCGATTTCAAAGACGAGCTGAAAATCAGAGAAGTTAAAAGTGTTGTATCAAACACACCTGAACTGGCTAATCGGGGTCTGATTAGGCATACTAGAAACTTCCAGGCAGGTGTGTTGAGGCAAGCTGGAGCTAAACTTTGCAGGACATCGGCAGTGCTCGAATTGTGTCAAAGCTCTTGGTGGTTTCTAAAACACTTAATTCCCTATGGTTTAGAATGGCCCACAGTGGCCTGATTTTCTCAGCAGATTTGTCTCTCCCCATCTTACTGGCAGTTGACAGACATTGTTTCTCCCTAAGCCAGGACTGAATATAGAGGTAAGGGTCAGACATGTTGAGAGGGGGCCATTAAGATCAATGAAAAGTACAGCAGAGAGGCTCCTGGCTCGAAGGCGATTCCTTGCATCTGTGGCAGTGGCATCGAGGGCAGAGAAGCCTCTTTCACACTCAGCAGAACTAACCAGGTATGTTTTACTGGCAGTCAACAGTTTTTTGAGGACCTTCCCTTTCTGGTCATTGTTGAGCTTCCAGTTTCTGAAGTCCTCAACTGCTTCCCTACTTGATACTCCAAGCATCTTTGCCAGGTCATGGATCTCTTTTTCCCAAAGAGAACAAGATACTCTGGATTTTGGCCAGCTGAGGGGATTCAGTGATCCTACAATCTTCGTAAGCTTAGTGTAAGGCATTCGTGAAGAGAGACTGCCAGTGAGGGCTTGGAGGAACTGCAGTCTATATATATGTTCTTTGTTGAAATGCAAGGGCACTCCTTTGAATTCTGCAACCTTAAGACGTTCCTCTGCTTTGTCCATTGACTTCCCTGGGGTGCTCTTCAAAGCCTTCAACACCTCAATGGTCATTTTTATTTCTTGTGTGGGGTCCATAAGAGAAGTGTTTCTGTTCTGAAAAAAGAAGACAACTCTAAAATATAATAATGTATTGAGCAGCACTTTAACAAATTCTTTCTCAATGTAATTCTCTTTTTCAGACTAAAATAGAAGGAAAAACACTACCTACCTGAAGTTTTAAGGACTAGACTCTTAAGTTCACGTAGCCCAGCATTTATAGTTGCCAGGTCTTTAACAAAGCCATTGCATGTGAGGCGATTCAGTAGGCCATTGATTTTTTTTCTTTCTCCATCAGAGCGTGATCCATCTTCAGCTGCTTTTTTTATTTGTGCAACCAAAGCAGGGTAGTCTCTCCAAACAGCTTGTACAGTCACAAAACTACTTACTACCCAACCGATGGTAAAAATTTGACCAATCTTAAGCAGGCTGACATTGACTTGAGAGGCTGCCTCTGCAAGCTGTCTTGCATTCTTTGGGGACTGATGGTACAGTGTGTACAGTTTTGAAATAAATATCTCAAAGTAATTGTAACCTGTGACTGACTTTAGCGCATCATTTACTGACAACTCAAGCCTGTGTGCAAGGTAGTGGATACTCTCCAGTAAAATATAGTTGTTTTTCAGCCTTGTGATAAGACCACTCTCACTTCCAGTCATCACAGATGCCCCATCGGTCGTTAAAGGGGTCATATGATGCTACATGCACTTTTACAAGTTGTTTGAACTGAAATGTGTGTTGGCAGTGTGTGTACACAACCACCCTAAAATGATAAAAATGCACCGTGTTTTTTTTCTTTTTATCTGCTCAAATCTTTACCCCTTTCTCAAATCGAGCTGATCTCAAATGCCTGTCTGTGTGATGTCACAAAAACAGGCCCCTCCCACGATAGTTCGATTGACAGCACAGACTGGGCTGGTGTCTTACCTTAGACCCTCCCTGAGTGAGCTGTCATCAGTCCGCCATTGTTTCACCGCCGGAGCAGATGTAGACAAGAATGACTCCTAAGTGATTGAGGTGTTCTGTGGTTGGATGTAATAATGAACAGCAGTCGTCATTTACTGCCGACATCTGAGCCGCTGAAGACACAGTGGATTGTTTGTTTTTGAAGAGAATGCTCCCCCGATCTACATAAATGCGCCTGTGTTCGCACAAATCATTAGTGATCCAGCTTCATCTACAGAAGAAGTGTAAGGTTTTTTTAATGAATCTTTGCAAATCACCTTTCCTAATAATGTGCTAATTAGCAAGTTTCATGATGAATGCAGCTAAAGTAAACAGTCCCTCAGAGAGCGGCTCGGAAGAGAGGGGCGGGGTCAGCAGAGCTCATTAACATTTAAAGGAAAATGCTACAAAACTGCGTGCTCTGAAAAGAGCTGTTTTTGACAGGGTAAAAAAGGTGTTTTTTTACACTACCATTGAGAAATTTAAATTTGACAGGGTAAAAAAGGTGTTTTTTTTACACTACCATTGAGAAATTTAAAGAAACTATGTTACAGACCTTTCATTAAGACCCTAAAGAATCATATCAACGTGTGGAAAATGGCCATCCTATGACCCCTTTAAGCAAATCAGATGAGACTTGAGATATTCATCATCCAGGTCAACCCCTGCCGTAAGCCATTTCAGCCATTTTCCCAGCTTCTGCCGGACCCAATCATGCAAAAGGATTGACAGGTGCAGAGCGTTTCTGATTAGCTAAAAAATGAGGGCCGCTCTCTTGACCTATTGTTGCTGTTGTTTACAGAGTCTAGAGCAAATGCAGAGACTGATGTGATATTTGTCAGGTAATAGAAATATTTTATGTGATGTATTCATACAAATATTGCTTACAGCACCTTAAAGTTGTGATTAATTGAGATTACATTAGAAGTTTTGACAAACTTGGAGAAACAGCTCAGGCGCTCATTAGAAGGAACTTTGTCAAAGGAAGTAAAGGATTTAATTACTTGCACCCCAGAATCAGAATGAACAATGATTTCAACTGTATTTTTGAGTGTGTGAGAGAAAAACAAATGAAGGAAGTGTGCAAAGGTATATATTTGAAATCACTGAAGCCTCATTTCGTGCTATTCCTGTATCTATTTCCTGCGGAGAAATGATTGGTCATAGTTGAGTGACAGCAGTGCTGTATTCAGTAGCCATGACTTTAAAACAGACTTATGTTTGGTGGATCAGGCTGTCCGTCACCCCAGGGGTCAGTCTCACAAATCAGTCATCCATCTTCCTGACCTCTGACCTTCCTGAGGACGTGGGTCTTTGTGTCAGATCGAACTGCAGGTAGA